GTTAGTCGACTCTTATGATATGCTCGTTGGGGTGGCAGTGGGGCCCTGGAACTAACACAGGAAAGGAACTACATCAGCCAGTTTAAAATTAAGTGTTTGTGAGAGTTTTCATTTGTGAGTTAAGTTCAGATGCCATTTTATAGAAACATTGATTTAGCATCAGGTAATTTTGTTGAGGCTTCCTGGGCGTTGAGTGTAAGAGGTAGCTTTTGGATGTCTAGTGCAACTGGAAAGGTTAACCCGGTCTATAAATGCTCACAAGTCAAATTCGTTGGTGGAAAGGTGAATATCGCAGCCATGCTGTTAACGGGCACAACACAATTACATCCTTGGATGAACACAGGATCATCAGTGAGGGGGAATTGCTGTGACGCTCACACAGCTGAATAACCTGAACAGAAGTGTTGTTTTTTTTGTCACTATGAACCCTGATCCTTGCACATCTGCATCCTGTGTCACCTTGTGTGAAAGAAAAAGTGACAACACTTTTTACCCCAGTGACGGCATCACAGTGGCTAGACATTTTAGGCTGGTGTAACATAGAAAACAAGATTTAAAATTTTTTTTTTTAAAACTTGAGGCGGACTCAAGCCTAAGGCCTGGCAGATGAGTCTAACTGCTAGGATACAAAAGCTCCCCTAAACCTCTATGTAAAGATCCTTGTCTCTTGTTAAAAGTAGTTAAATGCGAGAAGCAAAACCTTCTTATATCTCCCCCGATACAGTAAAAGAGGAAGTGAAGAAGAAGACTGCGTGTATTTACCACTTTTAGGTCGGCGCCGGATAGGACGGACGGAACCTGAAACCACAAATTTGGATTTGTAACAACCCCCCACCTCCCTCTCCCCCAGAAAAAAAAAACCCAACACTTCATTCCTTATTGAGGATCGAACCTCAGTCTCTCCGACGAGAGCAAGTGCCCAAACCACTTTTCCGGCTGCTCCTCCAGAATGATATCATAAATGTGGTTAGGGGTAATTCCAAGACAGGAAATAAGGTTGGGTGGGCATCTGATGAGAAACCTGGCAAACACAACAGCTGAGAGCATACAGCCAAAAAGATTCAGTTAAAGAGGTAGGAAGACCAAGAAAATCATGGCCATGTTATGACATCATCATCACTGCTCATGAGGCTTTCTGATTCATGGTAAGTCCTCTGATGCTACCTCTACTGCTTGTTTCCCATGAGAAGTAGGTCTCCTATCTTGGCCTGGAAGATGACATTGACACAGCTTCACAGCTGTGTTAGCATCAGAGACTCATCATTATCCACCAACCTAATCCATATAGTATTCATATCAGCTCTTTCTATGCTTATTGACAGACAACATTAAGAGTACTCTAAAACAAACAAAGGTATGGCACAATCGAGACCTGAGGTCTCAGTTGTTAGGTACAGTGTATTCACAACAGTCGTAACTGGTCACACCATACATATACAGTTCTTCTGCATTGTTCACCATTTAAATGGCAGGTGACACATTGTCTGGTGATTTACAGCTAGGTTGCGGTGTCTTTCAGGTCAACACATCTGAGTTTAGACAAATCTTAGCCACCGTGTAAGGAATGTTTTTAAGGAAACGGCGCCCCAGAACACACGCACAGTATTTAAATAAAAATGACCATTTAACTGTCAGTACTAACTGATTCATTTTGTTTTACAGTCCGACATGGGAAGCCACCAGGGATATTAGAAAACTGGGAGCAGAAACATGACAAGCGAGGGAATCTCAAGTTCTGTGAAATGATGTTAATTCCAGGGATTATATATTACTATTCTATGATATTTATTGATTTGTTGTGCACTAGTCTAGTATGATTGGTCACATTTTAAAACCCTCCGCTCCTCAAAAAAAAAAGTGAGGACCTTTGCATCTTTAATGAGTCGCTTCATCTGAAAAATAATATTTTTCGGGTCTTTATATATATATATATAAAAGAGAAAAGGTGTCTTTCAAAGTGGAGGAAAGCAATCACCAAAAAAAAAAAAAAGGACTTTCTTCCCTTTGACATTTTTTGGGGATCACTTTACATCAAATACCTAAGTGTAAACGCAATAAAATTATCTAATATCAGTTTTTAAAACTTTATTAGCCCCCCAACAAATTCAAAAACATTTTTGGTCAATATAATCATAAACACTATACCTGCACTAAACACTGCAATTGCTGCTAGTATCAAAATATATCCTACAATGTACTGGGTACAGTCCAAAGACATGTTAAATTAAACATGGCTTTCCCAGGGGGCGAGAGAGCTGAATGTATAGCATCAGTGCCATACTTGTTTAGGCCACTAAGAGGGTGATGTGCAATGTGATTAACATCAAGTAGGCCAGGGCTGTTCAACTAAAGTTTACTCAGGAACCAAAATTGTGAAAATGGGTATCGTCACAGGCCAGAGCCCCAGTATAAACAGATCATGAATACAGTACATTTGGCACCGACTCGTGAACCACCAGTAAGGTAGCCATAACCTAGGACACCTTTATATCATAGAAACAATTTTTTAACACTCATTTTAGCAGCCCTGCTCAGTAGAATGCCATCCTGCTCCATCCAGAAAATACCCAGATATTCAGTTTAGCTTGAGTTGACTAATCCTCTCACTGAGGATTTGAACTCATGACTAGAGGCCAAAGCCTGGTATGCTAGTCTCTGCACTACTATAGTTTGGTGTACTAAGCTTATTTTAAATGTTTTTAGTTTCACTTGTTTCATTTTGGCTTTTTGTTGATTTTTAAACTGAGAAAGTTTGCCAATAATTGTATTTGTTTAAAATTCATTACCTAATGACAGAATGTTATATACATTTGTTCAAGTTGAAGGTTGGCCCAAGTTTTATGTTTTCTAGATTTCTCCTTACAAGAAAAATGTCCACATTTGACACGGTCACACAAAATATAATCTCAACATTGCATTCACATATTAGCCTTTGAAGTCAGAGTGCATCTGCCTGAGGCAAGGAACCAGCAGTCTGCATACAAATGAGTCAGATCTGGGGGGAAAAAAAGGATACACATTCAACACTCAGGTTCTGGAAAAAGACTGCAGTCCAGAAGTAGACAAACAACCAGAACTTTCCGCCAGAGTTTACAGCTGGTGAACGTGAAGAAGAAGAAGAAGATTCACAAGCTTGTTAACTTTTTATTTTCCTACACATACAAATTCACCATACCATTCACGACTTCCGGTCAAGATCCAATGCACATGGATATTTATTTTTCAGCTATCCTAGAGTGGAAGCTTCCCATTGGCAAAAAGTTTAGTGAATATGTCTGTTGCATAACATCATGTTTGATTGCCCACATCATGCATCCCATATGGGTTCCAGGGCCGTATTATATAGAAACAACATAGACCACTGCCTACCCAAAAGCATGTCGTAAGAGTCGACTAATTGGGAGCTTCGTTCAAAGTTGGATTACATCTGCCTGAGAGGCAAGAAACCGACAGTCTGCACACAGATGTATCAAATCTGCCAAACTGATGCACACGCAACATTCAGGTTCTGAAACAGGGACTGCAGTCTAGAAGTGGACAAACAACCAAAACTTTCCACCAGTTTACAGCTGGTGAACGAAAAACAGAAAATATCATGCCTGGACCCCCCCTCCCAACACATTAAATTTCTAATTATGCCTGAATTTCCCTGAAATCAATCATTGCAAACTTTCCAGCTGGATTAAAGCAGCAAAGCTTGCAGTTGAAAAATGGGGATTTCAGATTGTATTTTACAGATCTTTATTCCCTGGTAACCTTTGAACAATATTCTTGGATCTATGTATTTATGTTACATTATGTTCTAGATGTTTATAAGTAAATTTTGTTTTTGAAAAAAAAAAAAAGGTGTCAGAGTTACAATTGTACAACTGTTAATGCCCATTACATTAGAGAGAGACAGAAATATACCTTGTTTCTGAGAGAGCATGTCCCACAATCAGGCAGGTTCAGTTCGAAGCATCTTGAATCAGTACCTTGAAGTCCACTGTCCGTGCTGCAATATATTCCTTGTTACCATTTGGAATTTGTAAGAGCTGACCTGTATATTATCTACTACCGACCCTATCATCTGCTGATATTATCAATGCCCTCCACATGGGAAGAATAGAGGACTTTGGTGGCAGTGAATCTGACTCGCCTTTATGGGGATCGACCCAGCAAAAAACAAAGACGATCAGCTGTGCCCCTAACAAGTATAGAAACTGGTAAAAGACGAAGTTGTTGGTTCATCTGACCGAATCTGAGCACCTATGGACAAATAGGATAACCCAACTAACTAACTAACATTAGAGAGAACGAAATAAACCTTGTTTCTGGGAAACAGTCCACCAAATAACTTCAGAAGTGGACGTTGCTGCAAATAGAACTTTGTTACCAGATTTTTACAGCCTGTATATTTTCTTCCTATCACCTTCTTAGTCTGCCCCCACATAGCTATGTGCTTTATGGGGCCCCCATAAAAGATCCTAATGCCCCTATGCATGTAAAAGACGAAGTATTGCATTCAAAGCTGGAGTGTATCTACCAAAGACTATACAAATAAGCCAGAACTGTAAACAGTTGTGAACAGAAAGTTCTGGGAAAAAGACCAAAGTAGTCGGACAACCCTTTTGATTACAGCCGTGTGAATTGATACAATACTTCTATGCATGTATGCTCTGATCTCACCATCATTTGATTGGCCCCTTTTGATCAACAGTGTTGATTTGATATTAACAGAGACACTCCTAAAATGTTTGTAACCTTTCAGATCTTCCAGGGCATATTATTCGTTTGTTGTTTTAGATATTATTAAGGTATTTGGACAGACCAGAATTTCCTATACACATCAAAGGGCCAGATAGTTTTGACACTGAAGCATGGACGATCATCAAACAATAATGCTAGCAAATCTGACTCCAAGATTCAAACAAATTTCAACTCAGAACAGGCACAACGAAGTCCACCAAAAACGAATGGAAATAGAATAATCTACTCAACATTTTATTAGAGTAACAAGTTTAAATTCTTGAGGGGTACAACATCTGAAAAGGAAATAAAAGAAATGTATTAGAAAATGCGATGTTTTTACTTCATTGAAAGCAAAACGTCTAAACCTGAACAGACACAGACTGCAAAACTGATTCCTCCCCATTGTCCAGCTGCGAAATTATGTCTGTCACATATGGCTCACAGTCCAGCACTTCTGACGACACTTCATTTTAGGGTTTCTCCTTATCTCAATCCCTCTACTTCCTATTTCAGTGCCTGCTTGGCAATTCTCTGCTTTTTCTTCTCAGGATGCCTCAAATATAGTGCCATTTTTCTCTATCTGATAAATTATTGAATAGACACAAAGACCCACAGGGGACAGCACTGTCACCTAAACACTGTTAATCGCTGAATGTAAAGGCCAAGAAAACCAATTAGTTACTTCTTGATAGGTTAGTTAGTTGCATGTCATATGACAGAATATTACGAATTTACCCCAGCTTGCAAAAAAATATACACAGCTTGCAAATAACAGACATCACATTTCTTTAGCATGTTCTTACTTACTGTCAGCGGTACAATTATTCACGAGTACACACTACTTGTTGTCTGGGACACAGATTTAAGGGCTATCTGCCTTGATTGTGTTACACAGGATTGAAAAAAATGCGCTACATTACTGAGAAATACAAGCTTGCATTCACACGCCAGAGACTAGTGTTCTAACAATCCAGTTACTTACTCTTTTAAAACTCAAAGCAACAATCAAATCAATAAGGGAAATGTTCAAACCGTGAAGAGTAAAATGTTCTACAACCTACCACTCGTATACGCTTGCCAATAGCTTTGCTGGGAAGGTTCTTTCGGAATTTAGCTCTCACCGCACCACTGTTTCCATGACAGCGTGTGACCTTGCCCCAGATAACTCTCAAACGACTGGGCTTGTCATGACCAGGGCATGCAGTCAGCCTGGTAAAAGAATAAGGGCAGACTGTCAACAGGTAAAACAAACCAACGGTAAAATATTCTATATCTAGCAAAGCTGCTCTTGATTTTCTGTATTTAAAGATTTATACCTGTCATTTTTATGGTACAATAATTTGACTTTAAAGAATATAATCTTCACCCCCCTCCCCTCCCATTTATCTTGGACATTTATTGTTTACTGCTACAAGCAATGACTCACGTTTAAAGATCTTCCTGCAACGTCAGATACAGGTAGATCTGAGATGACTGCAAGATTTGTCTCTGTTTTACTCACTTAAACTGAATCTAAGGTCTTGATAAAATCTGCTGTATCTTATAAATAAACTGTTTTGAAACACAAATGTTTTTTTTTTTCCCCGCCTATCATGTGTCCACTTTGAGGAGATCATCTGAGATCCACATAAGAGATTCATTTTTTGATATGCCTACTGTAGATGAGGATATGTTAATTGTCAGCATCAAACAAATCTGGCCCTCTCCTCACGTCATGACAAAGTCAGCTCCTCTCACTGCAGAAAACTGGCATGGATGCTGAACATTCCACTATTAAAGGCTGGTCAGCTACACACTGCAACCCTTACCTCTATTTGCTGCAACCATGTTCTTAGCATTTTCCAGCTGTAAACTCTGGCGGAAAGTTATAGCTTGTCCAGTTTTGAACTTGTTCCAGGAGTTGCATGCACATCCACTTAACGGATCTGACTTACTGTATGCAGACTGTTGGTCCCTTGTCTCTCAGGCAGATGCACCCCAACTTGTAAAAAATTACTACAACTCAACCAGGCGCTCCTTATGACATGCTTGTTGAGGGGCAGCGGGTGCACTCACGTCCCTCCTAACTTCACAACCAGAGGATCAAATTCTGACTGAAGGGAGTTAAGCTAAGTAAGAACTGACATCAAAGAACCTGGGAGATTCCCATGAGCTCTCTACCCCCACCTTGAGCAAACACTCCAGGTTCCAGTTCCGCTAGTACCAGTCAGACGGGTCCTCTAGTCACTTTCCGCTGCTTGATTTTCTTCAGAACCTGGCTTACTCTAACAACTAGAAACACAGTCCTTATAGAAGAAAACAGGGACTGTTCAGCTGAAATTCTTCAGAACCTGGCAACAACTAGAAACACAGTCCTTATGCAAGAAAACAGGGACTGTTCAGCTGAAATTCTTCAGAACCTGGCTTACTCTAACAACTAGAAACACAGTCCTTATGCAAGAAAACAGGGACTGTTCAGCTGAAATTCTTCAGAACCTGGCTTACTCTAACAACTAGAAACACAGTCCTTATGCAAGAAAACAGGGACTGTTCAGCTGAAAATTCTTCAGAACCTGGCTTACTCTAACAACTAGAAACACAGTCCTTATGCAAGAAAACAGGGACTGTTCAGCTGAAATTCTTCAGAACCTGGCTTACTCTAACAACTAGAAACACAGTCCTTATAGAAGAAAACAGGGACTGTTCAGCTGAAATTCTTCAGAACCTGGCTTACTCTAACAACTAGAAACACAGTCCTTATGCAAGAAAACAGGGACTGTTCAGCTGAAATTCTTCAGAACCTGGCACTCTAAACTAGAAACACAGTCCTTATGCAAGAAAACAGGGACTGTTCAGCTGAAATTCTTCAGAACCTGGCTTACTCTAACAACTAGAAACACAGTCCTTATAGAAGAAAACAGGGACTGTTCAGCTGAAATTCTTCAGAACCTGGCAACAACTAGAAACACAGTCCTTATAGAAGAAAACAGGGACTGTTCAGCTGAAATTCTTCAGAACAACTAGAAACACAGTCCTTATACTCAGAACCTGGCAACAACTAGAGAAAAAGTCCTTATAGAAGAAACAGGGATTGTTCAGCTGAAATTCTTCAGAACAACTAGAAACACAGTCCTTATAGAAGAAAACAGGGACTGTTCAGCTGAAATTCTTCAGAACCTGGCAACAACTAGAAACACAGTCCTTATAGAAGAAAACAGGGACTGTTCAGCTGAAATTCTTCAGAACCTGGCTTACTCTAACAACTAGAAACACAGTCCTTATAGTCCTTATAGAAGAAAACAGGGACTGTTCAGCTGAAATTCTTCAGAACCTGGCTTACTCTAACAACTAGAAACACAGTCCTTATAGAAGAAAACAGGGACTGTTCAGCTGAAATTCTTCAGAACCTGGCTTACTCTAACAACTAGAAACACAGTCCTTATAGAAGAAAACAGGGATTGTTCAGCTGAAATTCTTCAGAACCTGGCTTACTCTAACAACTAGAAACACACAGTCCTTATAGAAGAAAACAGGGACTGTTCAGAACCTGGCTTACTCTAACAACTAGAAACACAGTCTATAGAAGAAAACAGGGACTGTTCAGCTGAAATTCTTCAGAACCTGGCTTACTCTAACAACTAGAAACACAGTCCTTATAGAAGAAAACAGGGACTGTTCAGCTGAAATTCTTCAGAACCTGGCAACAACTAGAAACACAGTCCTTATAGAAGAAAACAGGGACTGTTCAGCTGAAATTCTTCAGAACCTGGCAACAACTAGAAACACAGTCCTTATAGAAGAAAACAGGGACTGTTCAGCTGAAATTCTTCAGAACCTGGCAACAACTAGAAACACAGTCCTTATAGAAGAAAACAGGGATTGTTCAGCTGAAATTCTTCAGAACCTGGCAACAACTAGAAACACAGTCCTTATAGAAGAAAACAGGGACTGTTCAGCTGAAATTCTTCAGAACTTGGCTAACAACTAGAAACACAGTCCTTATAGAAGAAAACAGGGACTGTTCAGCTGAAATTCTTCAGAACCTGGCAACAACTAGAAACACAGTCCTTATGCAAGAAAACAGGGACTGTTCAGCTGAAATTCTTCAGAACCTGGCAACAACTAGAAACACAGTCCTTATAGAAGAAAACAGGGACTGTTCAGCTGAAATTCTTCAGAACCTGGCAACAACTAGAAACACAGTCCTTATAGAAGAAAACAGGGACTGTTCAGCTGAAATTCTTCAGAACCTGGCAACAACTAGAAACACAGTCCTTATAGAAGAAAACAGGGACTGTTCAGCTGAAATTCTTCAGAACCTGGCTTACTCTAACAACTAGAAACACAGTCCTTATAGAAGAAAACAGGGACTGTTCAGCTGAAATTCTTCAGAACCTGGCAACAACTAGAAACACAGTCCTTATAGAAGAAAACAGGGATTGTTCAGCTGAAATTCTTCAGAACCTGGCTTACTCTAACAACTAGAAACACAGTCCTTATAGAAGAAAACAGGGATTGTTCAGCTGAAATTCTTCAGAACCTGGCTTACTCTAACAACTAGAAACACAGTCCTTATGCAAGAAAACAGGGACTGTTCAGCTGAAATTCTTCAGAACCTGGCAACAACTAGAAACACAGTCCTTATAGAAGAAAACAGGGATTGTTCAGCTGAAATTCTTCAGAACCTGGCAACAACTAGAAACACAGTCCTTATAGAAGAAAACAGGGACTGTTCAGCTGAAATTCTTCAGAACCTGGCAACAACTAGAAACACAGTCCTTATAGAAGAAAACAGGGATTGTTCAGCTGAAATTCTTCAGAACCTGGCAACAACTAGAAACACAGTCCTTATAGAAGAAAACAGGGACTGTTCAGCTGAAATTCTTCAGAACCTGGCAACAACTAGAAACACAGTCCTTATAGAAGAAAACAGGGATTGTTCAGCTGAAATTCTTCAGAACCTGGCAACAACTAGAAACACAGTCCTTATAGAAGAAAACAGGGATTGTTCAGCTGAAATTCTTCAGAACCTGGCAACAACTAGAAACACAGTCCTTATAGAAGAAAACAGGGATTGTTCAGCTGAAATTCTTCAGAACCTGGCTTACTCTAACAACTAGAAACACAGTCCTTATAGAAGAAAACAGGGATTGTTCAGCTGAAATTCTTCAGAACCTGGCAACAACTAGAAACACAGTCCTTATAGAAGAAAACAGGGATTGTTCAGCTGAAATTCTTCAGAACCTGGCAACAACTAGAAACACAGTCCTTATAGAAGAAAACAGGGATTGTTCAGCTGAAATTCTTCAGAACCTGGCAACAACTAGAAACACAGTCCTTATAGAAGAAAACAGGGATTGTTCAGCTGAAATTCTTCAGAACCTGGCTTACTCTAACAACTAGAAACACAGTCCTTATAGAAGAAAACAGGGATTGTTCAGCTGAAATTCTTCAGAACCTGGCAACAACTAGAAACACAGTCCTTATGCAAGAAAACAGGGACTGTTCAGCTGAAATTCTTCAGAACCTGGCAACAACTAGAAACACAGTCCTTATAGAAGAAAACAGGGACTGTTCAGCTGAAATTCTTCAGAACCTGGCAACAACTAGAAACACAGTCCTTATAGAAGAAAACAGGGATTGTTCAGCTGAAATTCTTCAGAACCTGGCTTACTCTAACAACTAGAAACACAGTCCTTATAGAAGAAAACAGGGATTGTTCAGCTGAAATTCTTCAGAACCTGGCAACAACTAGAAACACAGTCCTTATAGAAGAAAACAGGGACTGTTCAACTGAAATTCTTCAGAAAGATTCTCAGAATGCCATGAACAAAGAAGATCAGAAGCATTGGCATCCGAAAAGATCCGAATATCAAGGAAGATTAGCTAGTAAACAGCATCTTGTACCAGAAACTGAATTTTTGGGGGCCATTTCAAGCAACTCTGCAGACTGGAAGAATAACAACAGCAGAATGTATTGCACTAGGAAAGAGGGACAGACCAGCACAAAGATGGGCACACGAGTGATACCTTGGGTAGGAAAATGCACGAGGTGAGTGTGCTAGTAAGCGACAGATATTCTTTTAGGCAGACCAGGATGAGAGTACCGTTCTGCAAAGCACCTAAATGATTATGAATCAGAAACAAAGACCATGCACAAAGGATATCTCACCTTTTAGCCTTGTAAACGTAAGCGCATCTTTTGCCCATGTAATGTTCAGATATCTCACCTTTTAGCCTTGTAAACGTAAGCGCATCTTTTGCCCATGTAATGTTCAGATATCTCACCTTTTAGCCTTGTAAACGTAAGCGCATCTTTTGCCCATGTAATGTTCAGATATCTCACCTTTTAGCCTTGTAAACGTAAGCGCATCTTTTGCCCATGTAATGTTCAGATATCTCACCTTTTAGCCTTGTAAACGTAAGCACATCTTTTGCCCATGTAATGTTCAGATATCTCACCTTTTAGCCTTGTAAACGTAAGCGCATCTTTTGCCCATGTAATGTTCAGATATCTCACCTTTTAGCCTTGTAAACGTAAGCGCATCTTTTGCCCATGTAATGTTCAGATATCTCACCTTTTAGCCTTGTAAACGTAAGCGCATCTTTTGCCCATGTAATGTTCAGATATCTCACCTTTTAGCCTTGTAAACGTAAGCGCATCTTTTGCCCATGTAATGTTCAGATATCTCACCTTTTAGCCTTGTAAACGTAAGCGCATCTTTTGCCCATGTAATGTTCAGTTTCATTTTTGGTGTTGACACCTTCAATTTTCAGAAGGGCTGTGTTCTCATGCTGGTTACGGTGGCCACGCTTGTAGCCAGTGAAAACAGCTTTACTGTAGAGCCTACACAAATCAAGGTTCATGGTTATTGTCTTTTGTTAAAATCCCCAATTATCATGGGAATAATCAATTACTTTATAAATCAGCTCTTTATTAATTATTAGATAAAGATAAAGCCATTGCTATACCTAAAAGGTTTTTTCCTTGTTTTTAACTGCTGCTTACAGTCCACATGTCTCCGACATTGTTTAAATAAGCTTTAGGTTTTTAAAAATTCTTGATTAGATACAAAATACTGACACTGTTAGGAATTAATGTATGTACTTTTCTTGTTTCCTGATATATTCTTCTTTTCTTCTTACCCCCAAGCATAAATTGCAATGTGCAGGTTCTACAGCAAACCTGTATTACTTGCACATTTCACCCGACTTATTTGCTCGCGCATTTGTTGACGAGGTTAACTCTCCAGATAGCTTCGTGCGACACGGCATAGCCTTATTTGTGTGGTGTTCTTTCTTTTCTTATCGGCAGGTGTTGCCCCTGGGGAACACGTCCAGGGCAATGGTATTCCCCACCATCTGTGGAGGCATCCATAAATACGGACCTAATACAAGATGCTCTGACCCTGTGCTCACCCAACGAATCATCAGTCCCGCTTATTTCTGCTTAACTCCTTATCCATATGTTCAGCTTTCCCCAGCCAGAAATCAGACAGCAACCAAGACTAGGACTCAAATGAGCACATGAGTAGGTATATTTTTCTACAGCAGACACATTTAATGTTGATTCATCTTAACAGAATGGACAAAGCAGGCATCAGGTATGGCTACTCCTATCTAATCTCGACACTCTGAGGCCAACAGTAATAGACTTTTGAACCTTTGCTGGTATGCCACAGGACATGTACCTGATGGATATCCATGTCTAATCAGCTAAGTCACAGTAAATATATTGGTCTAGGGCTGAATCGAGTCTCAGCAGTTCAGTAGTTCTTTCCCCTCAGACATTATAAACCGTGAATTGTCATTTGGTAGTATATTTAGCTAGTGGGCCTTACTCATATTCCAAATGAATCACGATAGACATTTTACCCCATGCTGCAGGGGTTAGTTGATGAGAGGCAGCCTAAACACTACATCTACATCTCTGGGGGCCACCACTTCTGAGTTCCCCTGCCAGCTTGGTTTGTCACAAAGATAATCTATTATTATCTATTGCATATGACGAGGACTTATGGTAAAAATCTACACAGAGCCTGATGGTGCCCGAAGCAAGGCACGAAGTATCTCATATACATCACAATGTGACCAACATCACTGTTGCACATACATATATTACTACCTTCAAAGATTATCATCCAGAGTGTTTATCATCTACTGTTGATAACCCAATGGTATTCTTCGGTAGGTCAAAAGTGCCCTGCAACTATTCCAGAGATCCTGTTAGCCGTACCCCATTTACAAACAAACGACATCATTTGATGGCTAGCTGTGGTTTTATGACAATTGTATGTTCTGTCGTTTGCCATGGCTGCTGAACAAACGGCGATTCAAATCAATGATAAAATCTATGCAAAGTGGTCTGCTGTCAATTTTTCCTACAACTGAATCCAAATAAGTATTTTGGAATTAAAATCCTGTAGATAATTTCTACGCCAAAACAGGAACACAAAGAGCGTGGTCTAAATAGTCACCTTTATGTTTATTTGAAGCAAATCTTACAGGGAACATCAGTTGTGTTTATTTTAAACAAATCTAGCGGGGGAACATCAGCTGTGTTTATTTTTTAAAAATCTAGCGGAGAACATCAGCTGCATGTTAGCAGGCTCTTACCTGCCAGATTTCTTGGGTCTGTTTGTTGTAGCCTGAGACTCAGCCATTTTCACACCTGCAACAACAGTGACAACTGTTTTATATGTAGAAACTGACAGGAGTGTAAATCACAGCGTGTGTATATAGATAGATATATAGGCTCTCCTTTAAATAACGGTCGCTAGCTAGAAGGCGACGGCCGCTTAGACGGAGTTCAGTCCCCTGGCTGCAGTGCAAATACGGAGTGGAAAAGAGGGAACGAAACAAATGAGATTGTTACATGTCATACTAGGGTTAGGGGTAGGGTAACATGTCAAGGAAACCAGGCAAGCTTATCGCTCATTACGGCATACGCAGGTCTCACATAATCTACGGTCACTAAGTTTACGGTCACTAAGTTTACGGTCACTAAGTTTACGGTCACTAAGTTTACGGTCACTAAGTTTACGGTCACTAAGTTTACGGTCACTAAGTTTACGGTCACTAAGTTTACGGTCACTAAGTTTACGGTCACTAAGTTTACGGTCACTAAGTTTACGGTCACTAAGTTTACGGTCACTAAGTTTACGGTCACTAAGTTTACAGTCACTAAGTTCACAGTCACTAAGTCTGCGTCGAAAGAACGCGGTCGCTAATTTGAGTCGCAGCGCGTGGTCTAGCTCTAGCAGCCATGTGGAAGTCTCTTGTGTTTTTTTTAATTCGTGACTTGTCCACTCCATAATTGCACTGCAGCCAGGGGAGTGAACGACTAAGCGGCCGTCGACGTCCAACTAGCGATCGTTATTTAAAAAAGAACCAATATATATATATGTAGAGAGAGGGAGAGATATGCGAGTGAAATTAAAGGGATGGAAACATGCCATTTATATTTATTCAATTGAAATATATATATTTAAAAAAAAAATACTCTAGACAAAAAAAAAAAAAAAAAAAAAAAACCAGTTAAAGCTGTAACTATATCATGGTAACAATAACGAACAGATCAGATGATCGCTGAATTCACAGATTGTAAGATGCAATGTTATCACTAGGAGACATATATACTGCATTATTCTGTAGCAATCATCGCAGTCAACTTTCAATGGTGACTGGGTAAAGTTGAACCCTAAATTCACCTAGTGATGTAAATCCAGATAAGATAACACCCCCCCCCCCCCCCCCGATTGGTACGGACTAACCCAAGTGTCAGTAAAATGCAGCAACACCAGTGAAAAAATGTTGACGACATGTGGTTTTAGACCCTTAGGCGTTAGAGAAAAAGGGGTTTAAAAAAGTCCAGCCTAGCCAAAATGAGAATTATTTAACGGTTTTGCTCAACATTATATTTATATTATTAATGAGAAACTGTAAATATGAAAATACACTAGGTCGGGTGCTGGCACGGTTCCATGCATCTCTGCAGCAGGCAGGTGATGGGAGCGACGTTTACAAAAGACCAACGACGTGACGATTGTTGCAGCATATCCATCATATCGTAAATAAGTCATTATCTGAACAGTGAGTTGGCCTTCGGGCTCAACACGTGAGTCTGAGTCTGGGTAGACAATCAATTAACTTGTCAAAAAAGTTAATTACAAAGCTGTTATCACACAAGGTCAAATGTCTGTTAAAAACGGACTTTTTAAACACAAAGAACTTACAACAAAAAGAACAAATAGAAATCTACACGCAATAAAGACAGTTAAAACTTCTAACGTTCAAACAAAAAGTAAAAGCCTACCTCGCGTTTGTAATTTGCTTAAGAAAGGACAGTTGTCTGCCTTGTCCGGAAGTTGCTGTTGTACATGCGCACAGCCGCTGTAACCATGGTAAACAACATGGATGGAGACCTTTAGTTGATCACCAAGTTAATTAAATTGAGCGGACATGGGCAAACCACAGCGACCCGATGTAAGTTTAAAAAAAATGGTATCAATTAACGTTTGCTGTAGAGGGGTACATAGTAATACTGCGTATAAACCCACCAATCCGACATAAGACATCATTTACAGTGTAGGCTACACAGCAAACCAAGTCGAAGGATAGCCAACAATTAATATTATATTATTGTTAAGTACAACAATGAGTTCTTAAGCTTCGATGGGAGAATTTCAGAAAATGAAATATTTGAAACATAAGTATATGTTATTAGGCTCTCCTCCGAACTTCAACCCGATATTATGGTGGCCATAAAATATCCTTACGGGGCTCAGGCATATGTAAAATGCGGACTTTCTGCCAAGGAGCAAATCGAGGCAAAACTAGGATTACCTGACAATTTCAAGAGACGCAACATTGCAGACGAAAGTAGCAGACGATAATAGCGACCGTTGACAATTTTGAGCGTTTCTGCAGACGATAATAGCATGCACAGAAGGGGGGGGGGGCTAAATTAGGTGCCTGGCACTCACAAGCAAATTAATTGGAGGAGGTTGCAGGAGATGCGGTAGCTGCTGCTCGTGTCCCAGCCATCTAGTTTAGCCGCCATCCGCGCCACACGTAGTGGCACCGGAGATACGGTTGGCGGTGAGGCATAGTCACAGAAACAGGTTCACTAGTAATATATTGCTGAGACTCTGTTAGAGCATTTGTTTCATTATACGGAGCCGGCATATTTTTAATAGAACTGAGCCCCATAAGGATATTTTATGGCCGCCATAATATCGGGTTGAAGTTCGGAGGAGAGCCTGTTATTAATATTGTTATGAATATCATTATGGTATGACTATTTTTGTACACAGTGAGTGGGTGACTAAAATGTTAATAATAATTAATTAGATAAACAATTCAATCATTCATTGCCATGTTGCGCCTTTATGCTACATTGTATTACTACTAATAATCTTGTAGTCTATTCTTCCATCATGATTCTCACTGTTCTATCCTGTGCGGTAAATTCAATACAATGAATGGAATCCACTCCAGCACCTTTGACCTCTCTGATCAAAGTTCGTTTGAAGGGTTTATTTTGGGCATAAATAAATCATAAAGACTTACAACATGTAATTAAAATTTTCACTAATAACCACCATGTCTTCTGAGGCTATAGTCAGATCCTAAATCGAAAATTTTTGTAAGCTTTTGTTTTTGGCTGCTTTTAATAAATTTATTCACATGACCATTAGCAAAATGCACACAGAAAATTGTAAGATTATCTATTTCTCAGTTACCACCGGTGAGATTCAACAGACAGTGTTTAAGCATGCCAATAGATTCATTTCCTTGTCTTGTAACAAGAAACGATAGTCCCATTGTAGATTAGAAATAGGGGTGTAAGATTTTCGATTTTCACATATTCTAGGCCACTTTATAGTTATTGGAAAGGTCATTTCCATTCTTTGTTAATTTTTCCTTCTATGTATTTTTATTAAGAAGTAAAATACAAATTCAAAACACATCACAACACACACATCACAACATACACAACACAATGCACACATATCACAACACATATATTACAACAAACACGACATAAACATCACCATTTAAAGGGCATTTGCAGAAGAAGAAAAAGACTAGAACGACAGTAAAAGTATCATGAACATAGTTCACTGAATTACTTTTGTGGCATCTCATTCAGATGGAGCCTGATGCTGTGGTTGCTGGCTGGGATGCTATTCATGTGGCCACGGTGTTGGAGGACTGTGTGGATCAGCTCTGTGTGCTTGGACGCATCATGCCAGCGTCATATGAACTGAAGCCAAATGTTGTGGGGGTAAGTTTTTCTCACTGTCGGATTCTTATCTTTTTTTTTGGCCAGCCAGCACTGCTCGCAACAGCGACCCTAGGGATGATATCAGTGGCTGTTTATTGTTTATGTTGGTGCTCACATAATAATAATGTCCTTTCGTATTTAATATTGCTTGAGATTAAGGCTTGGGTTAGGGTTAGTGCTTGAGGTAGGGTTAGCCCAAATTATATCCCTAATCTCAAATGATCTTATATATGAAAGAATAGTATTATGTGAACTGACAAACAATGGATTATGTCCCCTAGTGCCGGCACTTAAGTAATGTTAACTTACAATAGATTACGTTCTCTAAGGTAGCCGTTGCAAGGAGTGTTGGCCGGTCTTCTCCTTGTCAAACAGTCGACATGACATGTGGAACTGGCTATCCTCCCTTGAAAATTAATCCAATTTTTTTGTTCAACATTTGTATCTGCAACCATAACACATGCACTAAATACACCACTTGACTGTTTACCAGAATGGCATCCCTTCCTGCAAGTTTCTGTAGCAGATAATATTTTTACAGGGTGGAGGAGCTGTCCCACACCCAACCCTCCTCCTTTTTCATCTAGGCTTGGGATCAGCAATGGCAGAAATGACCTGTACACAGGGCTTGACATTTTGTAGTACACGGTATACTCACAAATATAATTTTCATTCTTTGTGTTCTCAAAGTAATATATCTTAAAACTGTTCTGCCAGATTGTCCGGGATGAACTCACTCAGCTGGTTAACCATCAGCTAGAGCTGGAAAACAAATATCAGTCAGTCCTTTTTAAAAAGATGGAGCTCATAGGCAAAACAAAGAATCATGAAAAGCTTCTGGCTGCAGAGAAAGAAGTTCTTAGTGCAGGTGGAGATCTTAAAAATTCTACTCAAGTTTTTCATCGGAGCTTGCGTCAAAGTCCCCTGACTGCAGACAATCTTATAAAAGTTCAGAAAGACAGGTGAAGTAGTTTTGTTTTGTTTTCTATTTTTATTAAAATGACAGAAGTTCATATATTGTGGTGTAGAGGTTTTGGCAGAGAGATCGCCAGACCTCTGTCTGCAGTTTTCTTTTTGGCTTTGTTCCATTCCAGTTCTGTCTGTCAGAGACTGTCAGATGTTGTCTTCACTACGAACTCTGTGTCGCTCTGTTGTTCTGGCTCTTAGCCCTTCATGCTGCCATGGTGGCCGATTTATTTCATTGTCATCCATATATGTCCAAACCATTGGAACTGTGAGTGATGTATCTAAAAAAATGTGCCAATACTCAGCACAAATTGTCTATTACAGTAAAGCTTTAAAAAATAATGCGCCTACACAAAAAAAGTGCTGATATTGTTAGTCATTGCGTACTAGCAAAAAAAGTCCTAGTCATAACTTATAAATGGAAAAGAAATATAGTAAAGTTGTGCAATAATGTATTCACTAGGCTCTTGAATTGTTTAAAATCTGGCAATAAATATTCTACTGATTCAACTTTGTGAATCAACAGGGGATATGTGGAACAGATTGTGAGTGACACAATGGCAGATCTTGTACAGAGATGCAGTTTTCAACCTTTGTTGAAGGCCGTTACAACAGAGAAGCAACACAAGGCATCACATGAACAGACAATACAGAGGTTAGTTTTGTGTTATTGTTATTTTTGTGTGTTTAGCAAACAACAGTAGAAAAACTCTTTGTTCATAGCTATTCTTCTTTTTCTTCTTCGCGTTCACCAGCTCTGGCGGAAAGTTGTGGTTGTTTGTCCACTTCTGGACTGCAGTCCTGCTCCGAAACCTGAGTGTTGCGTGTGCATCAGTTTTACAGATCTGATTCACTTGAATGCAGGCTGTTGATTCCCTGCCTCTCAGCCAGATGCACTCTGAATTAGTCAACTCTTATGACATGCTTCTGGGTAGGCAGTGGGTCTATTCATGTTCTCCCCAGAATCCACACAGAGAGTTCATAGCTGTGATTCAGAGATGTTTGAAAACAAGAAACATTGCTTCAGAGGTCTCTGGTAATTAGCTTCTTTTGGATATTTTCTGTAAAGAATACATGTGTGTTGAGAATTAAAAAAAAAGCAGACAAATTGACTGGTTCTGTGCCACTTAATGATCAGCTGATACATGAAATGCTGGATGTGGTTACATCCCTTTGGGAGCAAGTAAAAATATGGAAGCACAAATAGATAATCACAGTCTGGATAGAAAGATGCTGCAAGAAGTGATGACCTGGGGATACTCTGACTGACACTCAACGGAAAGGCAAGACAAGACAGACATACAATCAAGCTGCTACAGGTACTCTTGGAATTGAAATGACCACACACAAAATTCTACAATACCAGGGACCAAGATGAACAGAAATACTGACGTCTCAAAATATCTAAACATCAAGGAGAGTTTGCTCATATACAACATGTTGTCTTGGAAACCAAAATACTTTGGTCATATAAAAGACTGTGCTGCATTGGGAGGCATAGCAGCAGAGGTCAAGGTACTGGGAATGAAGGGCAGGGGCAGACCAGCACATAGATGGGCACAGGACTTGAGAGTCACCATGGGCAGAAAAGTGCATGAAGGAGGGAGGAGGCAAGGGCTCAAGTTTATTTCAAGTGGCCTATGAGGAAGCGACGTTCTGTAAAGGATCTGCCACATGATGATGATGTAAGTGTTGAAAGAAAATGACCATAAATGAAAACTTGAAAAATTTTTTTTTATATTGAATGCTGGAAATATTGCCCAGTGAGGCCTGTTCTGTTCCTTAGTGGGACTCTCATACTTGGAATGTCAGTAAGCCATGAGAATAGACTTTAGTGTCAACTTTAGTTTCAAAACCTGTTGTGGAATGGTTTTAGTATCCAAGACTAGATGAAAATAAAATCTACTAATTATACACAAATAATTCTATTGTATTCAGTGAACAAGAAGGGAGAAAGAGAATAAAACAGTTGCAGAAGGAAATACAAGATGTGAAAAAAGAACATGAGATAGAAATTCAGCACAGAATAGAAATGATATCTCATCTTAAAGATCAACTGCAGGTAAAATCTTTTTTAACTAACCCATCTTATTTCATTTTCTCCATCTATTAATTGTGTCATATTTCCACTGGACTTTTACATTGTAGGCCACTTATTGAAAACTAGTTGATTCGTTTTTTAAATAAACTGTTCGGAATATTTTAACACAGTATCAAAGCACTTGGTTATGGCACATACTATTTCACTAACTATTGATTAAATGTGACAAGGGAATTTCAATACCTCGTTCTACTCACTCTGGGAGGATATTGCCCAAACAGAGAGTCCTGGGGCAATGCAGTGATCTTTGCAAATGATGTTTGTGAGGGATTCCACTCAGTGACAGAAAACTGTGCAGCTGCAATCGATCTTGGGGATGCATACAACATGGTGCCATTGGACTTCTTGATTGGTCAGCATTTTGATCTCAGTGATGTGGCAGTTGGGCATCTGAACCAATAACCAAACACCCTTGTCTGCTCAAAGCTTCATTTTATCCTCAGTAGTTTTCAACATTTTCACCATGAGAATCACGGGCGAGCAGATCACGGGACCGGGAAGGACACTGGCATATTCTGAGGACCTTTTGGTGTACCGTTAAAGCAGAGACCGGAAACAGGTTACTGAGGGCCTTCAGACAGGACTTGATCACATAAGCAGGTGGTGCGATGAAGCGGGAGCGGTTGTTCAGTGTGTCGAGGTCAACAGTGACACGGTTTTCACAGAATAACCATATTATAAGCACAAAAATACCAACTGTAAGTCTGTGTTCAGAGATCATGGAGAGAACTTGTGAAATGAAGTATCTAACGGTGTGTTTTGATCATGGTCTTGCTTTTTGTGAGCATGTCAACCACAGGAAGGTTTGAGGGCGCTAAGGTAAATGGCTGCAATAAAATTGCGAGCAGCATCACCTATTTTCAGTATACTAGGGTCTGATCTTTTCTGTAATTGAGTACGCTCTGGCAATTCTGACCCTTAGCCGTACACAGATAGAAAAACTAGATCGGCTACAGAATAAGGCCATGTGCAGAGTTCTTGTCTTATACTCAAAGGTTGGAAACCACTGCTATTCTTTTCAGCATCAGGATTTGAAGAGGAATCTCATGAGAAAGTCTGGGTGTGTGCTAAGTAGAGTCCAGTATTCCAGTTCTGTATTTCTTGCACTGGCGACCTCTGACTCTGCTCCCATGTTGTCTGAGTGACAGGACTTTGTTCTATGATAGTCATGATACATTACTGAACCAGTTGATCTGTTGTCTCTTGATGTAATTTAACACTGGTTCTGTCATATCCATGTTCTCTTTCAATTAAAAACTTTCTCAGAAAGAGAGCAAGAGAGTGTGTGAAAGAGAGAGAGCTAGAAAAATAGAGAGCTTTACCATGTGTGTCTGAGGTGAACTAACACGTTTATTTTGTTTCATAAGGAAATGAAAGCCAAAACAGGCATGGAAAACAAATATGTCAGAAAGTGTGCAGACGCTGCTGTGGCACAAACTCAGAAACGTTGCTTCCTGGCCGAGAAAAAGAAGAAAGACCAAACAGAGGTAAATGTCCAACATTTCTGATCTTATTTTTCTGCATTTAGCCTAAAAATATGGTTGGGACATGTATTGTGGTTTATAGCTGGGGGGGGGGGGGGGGGGGGGGGCGGCATGGTCTTGAGGCATGGTGTCCGCCTTGAGTGCTAGAGGTCTCAGATTCAAGTCCCCGTGAAGGCTGGGATTTTTTCACGTGGACATTTATTAATTTCCCCTGGTCTTTTGGTAGTAAGACCAGACACCCATGTGTATTGTTGCGCACATAAAAAAATCCCTGGGCAGTTGGAAATCGAACAGAGTAGAATAACGAAGCTGCCCAGGCAAAATTTGGAGTTGAAAATCTACCCAGAAAATATTCAGTGTACTTCACTGAGATTCTTCGAACTCATGCTTGAGTTAGAAGAAAAAACGGAGTACTTATGGGTTACTCCCCTTGTGCCATAGTGTTGATCCGTTGAATAAAGATAAACAGCTAGACTGTGATATCTCACTTTCTGCTCAAGACATCCAATTTCAGCAAATCCTCTTTTTAAAACCAGTGGGTCTTTTCTTTGCCTTCCCCCCAAAGTGAGATCCTTGTTCCCAAAAGGGATTTTCTCTCTACGGTTAAATACAATTCTGTGCATGTTATCTTACAATTAATGAAGAAATAAAGCCTTTTATTTGACTAAATGCAAGAGGAGGGATTCGCTCTTAAGTTAAACAAATGTTAAGCAAACGTAGCCACTGGCAACTGGAAAATTCTTACAAAACTTCAAAGACAGAAAAAAAAAAAAGAAAGAAGATATGCCAGTCAGCTCCTACTGGGTCTGTTGAGCCTGGAGATACTGAGATGGCTGCTGCTTGAGAAGACGGAGCACTAACGTGTCAGTCTGATGTGCTAGGATGTTGATTTAGCTAACAAATAACAAGGCAAGAGACAGAGGCTTTAACAATCTCTTTACATTATTTTTGGGAATGTTTTTTTTTCAATAATTTTGTTTACAAGCAGGAAGCTGAATAACTGATCTCAACCTTCATATATTTGTTCTTGCAGAGACTGCAGAGAAAGATTGATGAAGAGAACAGAGCTCATCAGGAAATTATATCCTTCCTCCATTCTCATAAATCTGTAAGTTTGATTTTAGCTCTTTTTATGACTTTTTATGACTTTTCAAAACCAGATTTGTTTGAGGCAAACAGTTATATAAACAATATAACCGTAAAGTTTGTGGTGATTACACTTCTTCTTCTTCTTCATGTGCCTTTCATCACGCAATAGAGCTTACATAGTCTCTTGACTAACTCACACCAAGTCGTCTTATCTTGTGATATCACATGCAGCTCACCCCATCTTTTCCCCATCTTTGTAAACTTCATTCTCTAATTCTAAGTGGGGAGCAGCTGTCATATATTGGCTAGATGTTCACCTGTGGATCTGAAAGTAGTGGGTTCAAATCCGAATGGTGCTGGTCTTTTTTTGGTGAATGACTTTGGCTCCCAGGGCAACCCAGCCTTAATGTGTATCAGATAAAGTCCTGGGAAGTAAAGGCAACCGGCATGATGCTGATCATATAGCCCACCAAGTGCCAATTGATCCCTTGATCTCTATCACTGAGGTCTAACGGCAAATTGACATCAACTTATCTTTAAAAATGCTATTTACCACAAAGCAAACCTGTTGTGAACTTGTGTGTTCTGTTGTGAAGAGCAATTTTTTTATTCCCAAGGAATTCCAGGGAAATTTGACTAAAAAGCTTAACAAAAATTAAAATATTGGTATTCCCAGGAATTTTTCTTGCTTGAATTCTTATCTGGATAAAAAGAATTTCTGAAAAGAACAACTATCTTTTGTGTCCCCGGTGAGTTCTCCTTAGCAGATCTGCACTATGTATAGTAGAGGGGGGCATGTCTGTAGAATGTGCAGTGGAGGTTGGTGCTAATTGTTATAAATATATATGTCTTCAATTTTCGTGCATATTCTTTTTTTTTCCATTGATACAGGTTGCAATGATATACTTGTAAGTTAAAACTAAGCAAAACAGTTCTAAGAGTTTTGAATTTTTGTTTCAAAATATTTTCTTTGACAACACTTCATTTTTTGTGTTCCTTGTTTCTTTAATTTGAAAAACATAATTTCTGTAAAAAAAAACAATGAATGTCTTTCTATGAATAACCCTTAAGGATGAGAGGCCAGTATTTATGGAGGATATTCTCAAGAGTTTATAATGAAATGCAAATATCTATGGCATTAACTTTCATCAATTTTTGTTTAATTTGTTTCCTTGTTATATTTCTGAAATTTTTTTTTCTAAATGTCAATAATATTGACAGAGTTTTCGTTATCAGCTGTTAGAATCTGAATGAAAATGAAAGGACAAGATGATAGAGGAATCTGACAAACAAACATAAAAACATTCAGTGCCCATTATCAGTAATCATTTGGTTAGCATCAGAATATATAACAAAAATAAAAAAATTTTAGTTTCTGTTGAGAAAGGAACACTGGGCATCAATTTTGTACACTGTCTTGTATATGCCTCAGTATCTTTGTAAAGTCAACCTATCAAATTAATTTACTCTAAGCAGGGCTTTTTTCTATATAAAAAAAAAAAAAGTCTCTGTACTCACACAAATACTACATTTGTGATCATGCAAGAGCTGACTAGCTGGCAAGTAATGTATCAATGCAAACGGGAAGAAGCATGGACAGAGTTGATATCATCATTGTATGGGCTAGGCTGGGGATACTGTTGAATCTCTGACGCTAACACAATCGCATGACCGAGGAGTTGAGTTTGGCAAAACACGTCTATGCCGTCTTTGAGGTAAGGACAGGAAATACTATAACCAGCTTCTCATGGGAACAATCAGGAGAGGTACCATGGAGTAGCTGCTGCATTGGAGGACCGTGCACACATGGCAATGCTCAATGTGCAAAGGCGTCAACTGTGATAACACAGCATAATTACAGTAGTGCTGCATAAAAGATGCACTAAAAAGGTACCAGTACTGCAAACTGTTGTGTACCACAAAGAAAAGCTCTAGTTCTTAGAGATAATCTGATACAATATTTGTCTGTTGTTATTCAGAAAGAAAAAAACTGTTTTGTGTTAATGCATTTATATATTTTGTGTTTCTGTAGCATATTAATGAATGAATCAATCAGGAACTGACATCCCATGTTTATCATCCACTTTATTTGTAGCCAGTGAAAAATTATGTGGCCAAAAGGTTACGCTGTTTGCCTTGTGCTCTGTATGTTAAGTTTTATTCATGCTTTATTTAGATTAAAAGGTTAAAGTTAACCTTTAAATGAAGCATGTCTAAAACTTGACTTGACCTTCAGAGCGCACATCCTAGCCTAAGATCTGAGGTCTCACAAGAAAAAAACATGGAGGAGTAAAACATTTAAGATGTGATTATGTAATTCATGTTTCAGGGTAGCCAGTGTTCTGAGGTTGCAACGGCAAAGTGGTCAAGCCATTTGCCTCACTCTCTGAAGGTCATAGGGTCATTTCACAGCTTGTCTTTCAGTTCACTAGTGCAATTGTTATAGAGATCCCTGAGAATAGTCGTTGGAGCTATCAATAAGATAAGACTGGATGGCGGGATGTTGCAGTGGTTACAGCCTTGGTTCTTGCTTGGGGCGCTGTGCAAACAACATGGATTATTAACCGGACCGAACTGTCTTAGGACCACATAAGAGTAGGCTTGGGCAGAGGAGGCTTGGGCAGAGGAGGCTTGGGCAGAGGAGGCTTGGGCAGAAAAGGCTTGGGAAGAGGAGGCTTGGGCAGAGGAGGCTTGGGCAGAGGAGGCTTGGGCAGAGGAGGCTTGGGCAGAGTTGGCTTGGGCAGAGGAGGCTTGGGCAGAGTTGGCTTGGGCAGAGGAGGCTTGGGCAGAGGAGGCTTGGGCTGGCAACACACAGGACCCTCACCTGAACAGAAATTTAAAACATTGACACCTTTCAAAGGAGAACAAAGGAGGCAAATCCAACAAGACAAGCAGGCAAAACAGGACCAAAATGGGAACGTAGACATCTAGGGATGGACAATAGACTCAGTCAGGGACATAAGCAATCAACCCAGGCACAAATATCAGTTAGTACACTTGGCACAAATAAACTGGACCACAAATATAACTAGGAGTCACCAGGGTGTAGTGGCTAGAATTTGAATTGCCTAAATGTTAGTGTGTTATTTGCCAGCTTGTCTGCTTGTTTTATAAGGTCTTTATGTATTCACTCAGGTTAAAGATTATAACTTTCAAATGCATTTACTCTGGTATGACAAATGATTAAATAAACCCTGTCTAGTACTAAAAAGAGTTGAGAGTGGGAAGGAAAACAGCAAGTAATGGGTTCATGTTTTGTACTGAAACATTTAAGGAACTGGATAAAAAACTGGAGTTCTGGAGTGAGAAATATGAGGTTGACAAGGAGGCCAAACAGAAAGAACTGGATACACTCAAGCAGACCAAGGCTAAGGACCTGGAGAAGCTGCAGGAACTGACCAAACTGGTGAGTTGTGACCATGAGTTCATGAAAGTCTTGTAGTCTTTTGACTACCCTCTGCAGGCATGTAGGTTTCAACACAGCAGCTAGAATTATTTATACTGTCTTAAGTGTATATCTGTCTTTGGTTCTTGAAAAGTCAAACTCATTTTCTAAAGGAAGTACATTTGGATATTATTAACAGGTCACAATTTCCATTGCACTTAAACAGTTATTTTTAACAGTCTGTACAAACAGTGCACATGGAACTGTATAGTTCCTATAGTTGGCTGTCGTCAGTAACCGCAGAGGTTGGTTATGTAGCAGCCAGGTAACTGTAACCATAGCAACATTGCATATTCTTGATAAAATAGCATTAGTCTGTCCTTATTGCAACCTGTAGTTAATGTTCATGTATATTAGTTATCCAGTCATGAGCAGCGTAAAAAAAAAAAACTGCTTTTATTATACCATTTTTGCAGTGTAGTCTTTGAGCCTGAGGATTTATGGCCGCATGGCTAGTGCTGTCACCATGACAGCATTGTCAGAATGTTCAAAACCACACTTGTATAATCTGGGTATCTGTGGCAAGACAGAAGGCTGCACAGTTTTATAGTCTGCTCAACAGATCTGCAATTGTGTTTGTAGAATCTTTTATGTTACAGATCTTGAAACTGTAATTTGGTATCAGCATTCTGCTCAGAACATGAAGACACTTGTGTCTGCTGACCCAGTGTGGTATAAGATGCACACAGTGCTAACCTGGCAGCTCCCAGACTAGTACAAACACCAGAAATCCTAACTATCAACCCTCAGTGACAACCACTGCCAGACTGATTCATCTGCTCCTGCAGACTTTCGATAGTGGACTGTTCTCTCCCTCTCGAATTCGAGGAGTGAGCTGATTCTAATCTTCAACCCCACACATTCACTGTCTCAGTGTGGGTCCCTACATACAAGACATGAAGAAGACTGTGGTTTTCATTCATTCAGAAGTCCCACAGTTTGACCCAAGTCCATGGCTATTCAGATACTCCTTGATTCTGTGAAATTCTGTATTTGATTCGATTTACATATTTTCTTCTTCTTCAGCATTCTGAGCCCTTGAGGTTCATTGCTGCAAATATCACCCGCCTTCATTCATCTCTCTGGTTGGCCCTCTCTTTCCAGTTAGTGACACAAAGTGTTTGCAGGTCTGTCACATATTGCAAACAAATAATGGAATATACCTTGAATGGACATAATTGTATACATATATTATATGCAAATTGAATCAAATACAGAATTTCACAGAATCAAGGAGTATCTGAATAGCCATGGACTGGGGTAAAACTGTGGGACTTCTGAATGAATAAGAACCACAGTCTTCATGTTTTGCATGTAGGGACCCACACTGAGACAGTGACTGTGTATAGAATATATATATATCCCTAATTGACTACAACAGTGATCACAAGTATAGAAATATTCATTTCTTTGATTTGTTTTTTTTCCAGTACAAAGAGTATGAAATGATAGTGGTTGAAGACAGAATAGAGAAGGAGAAAGCTAGAAGAAAATTGGATTTGGAATCCATTGAGCTCAAAGCAGCAATAAAAGTAAGTCATCTTTCTAAAGTTTAAACAAAAAATATGTTGCTGACACCTGAAATCTTTTCTTTCTCCTTGAAATTTTCTGACATGAGGATGACATTTTCCTTAGAAGAAAAATTAGAACAGTATCATAATCAATTGCCATGCTAAGTGGCATCAATGATCATGCTTCTTTGCATCTTGCAGCCTTCAGCAGGATGTGTCCATTCATTGGTTAACACTTGTCTGTGCCATTGTAGCAGGCTTTCAAGAGTCTTCTTTTGCTGTCTTCTTTTTCTTCTGTGTTTGGGCTGTTGACAAGTTGTGTTGTGGCTTACATTAGGCTGCAGTATCTGTGCCTGTCAGCTCAACACATCTAATTGCAGGAATTCCTGATTAGTAAACTTTTTCAATATGTGGGTGTGTTGGGAAATGAACAGGAAGACAGACTCACTGGTTTTGCATCAGTTGGTGGTAAACTGATGCAAGACAAGCAAGATGTTATCAATTCCCTTTGGAAAAGAGAGCTGGCGTAAATAGATCATTACAGTTTGAGGAGAATGGGGCAGCAGGGAGTGAGCGGGTGGTCTGGTTGACACTCAGGAAAAAAGCAAGACAAACATGCATTCAGACTGCTGCTGGTTCTGTTGGAGTTATAACTCTGCACTGGCTGCTGAAGATGGGGACAGAGCGCTTATACGAATGACCTGAGTGCTGTGATGTTGGTTCTTAACTCAACTCAGTTCAGTTTACCACAGACTTATTAGGGAGCAGTGGGTCTACCCCTCCTTTTCCTAAATGGGACCTGAAACCCACACAATTACTCTGTCTCTCTCTCTCTGTCTGTTTCTCTCTCTCTCTCTGTTTCTCTCTATCTCTCTTGCTGTCAGGAAATAAGGGCAGAAGAAGGAACTGAAGTGACTGGAATGTTTCTAGGTATAGACTTATACTTTTAATGACATAATGAACACATTTGAGCCTAGTTTTGTCATACATTGTAAATTGATGTCATCATCATGGTTTGTTCCTTTACTTTGTACTTGACAATTTCACATTTTCTTTTCTTACAGCTGCAAGCTTGGTGGAGAGGTGTTATGGTGCGCAAAGGTTTTGGTCCATTTGGTAAAAAGAAAAAGAAAGGAAAAGGGAAAAAGGGAAAAGGAAAAGGTGGGAAAGGGAAAGGTGGAAAAGGGAAAGCCAAGAAGGGAAAAGCTAAAAAAGGAAAGAGTAAAAAGAAGAAGTAACACAGTTCAAATGTGTGTTGTTAAAATACATTGTTGATGTTTGTGACTTGTTTGCTACTGCATATTGATGTAATCATTTTCCTATTGGTTGAACTTTTAAGAAATATCTCTTCTATGCACAGAGAAACTCATAAGTGCTCTAATTCCTCCTTTAGGTCACAAAATGTGACCAAAATATTTGAGGTTTCATTAAGAAAAAAAAAATTCTTTCTTGTCTTCTTTAATATGCCTGACAACAAAATACTTAAATCCATTGATGTAATATTACCGAATTAATCAAAATCGACACCAACCCCTTTGCGCTATGCACAAGGCTTTTAAAAAATAGTTTCACAGTCGGCATCTGTGATGTAGGTGTTGCGAATGCTCTTCGTAATGCCGGGTTCGATTTCAGCTGTGGAGGGTTTGTCTTGCGTTGGTTTTGACAACGGTACTGAGAGCCGACCATTCAGTTAGCAGTGGCAGACTACTGGACGTATATATGCCTAGATAATCTACAACAGCCAAAAAAATGCTGGGGTTGGTTCTGCAACATCCTGTAAAGGATACACAACTAACTTTAACACACAGGTATGCTCCATATACCCATCTTTTGAAAACTTCATTAAAAATTTTGTTACCGTACAAATTTCAGCTTGCTATGAGTGAACTAAAACTGTCCTCACAAAGTCAGTTTACCAACCAATTTACAGAGGGAAAGAGCCTTGGCTGTTCTGGCTACATCCTAATATGCTGTACTGCGGATGAAGTCTAATACCATTCTGTTTATAACTTTAAAACAAGGACTGCAGGACTGACCAGATGAGTTGAAATCAAGAATGAGATCATAACAGAAAAACATCAGCTTTAAACAAATCAAATGGTTTGCCCACTTAAAGAGCATGCTGTGTGACGTCATTCCACACACATACAAAAAGTGTAAAGTCTGGAGATGTGAACCAGCGTCATTGCACACGGTTATAAACCATAAGTGCTCTGCCACCAGTAGGGATAGCTGATAAGAAACGGTCCGCCTGTGTTGCCGTCTGCAAGCAACTCGGTAGATACAGCGATGTTCCTCCATTTACTCCAGAGTTTTAACTCTAGTACCCATCTCCTAGAGGCTGGGTGAGCCCTGGGAACCGCCCAGTTTTGAACACCAGCCGTGGGCTGCAGCGAATCGCAGCTGGATTTGAAAGCGAATCTCCTATTGACTGTGCTAACATGGTTGCTCAAAGGTATACACTAAAAGAGAAGGATGTAGATCACAAAAAAAAGATCAAGAAAAAAATGGAAACAACCACAGAGAAATTAAAGTCTACAACGGCACAATGTGTCTATGGCCAAGGCTGCCAAAAATGGTAGCCTGGGGGACCTGATATCTCTCTCAAAACCTGAAATGGTAAAAGAGGAAGTGAAAAAAAACGAAGAAAAAGAAGAAAACTTTAAAACAAGCAACATACAAGCTGCTGAATATTAACTATCTAATCAGATTTCTTTAGTATGTTCATATCAAATGTAAATACATCAACACCAAGTGTGTTTGATACAAGCAGGCAATAGCAGTATCTGATGCAGAGTGCTGCTTGACCCAGTTAGTTAACTGTGAATTTCTAGTACATTATGAATTAATTGTGAACTTGTATGTTGTGTGTTCACATAGAAGAATTTCTTATACACTTATCAAAAAGACTTTGTGTGGCTTTTGGGGAGTGATACAAGAGTTACACACTAGGAGAGAGAAGCCTCACCATGTACAATATTTCCAGACATCATGGATTCATATACACACTGAAGCCAAACTCCATTGTGCAGATGGCACAACACTTAATAAAATAAAAGGTATAGGGGCCGTTTGTAAATGTTGAGAGTTACTAGGCTTCAAGTGCAGTTCTAATATATACGCAGACCAGTTGGCACTTGATGGGTAATGTGGTCAGTATTTTGTTAGTTTCAATTTTAGACTTTACCCCAGGAAATTTTTTTTGTTAAAACTGCGCTCATGAAGTGAAACCTATGACTACCAGTCTAGCATGCTAGCCACTGCGTCACCATGATTTCCATAAACTTGTATATTCTGACTCCATAACCTGTTTATTTGTTTTGTTTCTTATGTAAATAAAATACAAAAATCATACAGCATACGATTTACCCTGTTCAGTGTAATGTTTTTTTAAACTGATAATTAAATGTTTACTAAAAACTTAGGAAACAATATTCCTTGGCAGTCTGAATTTGAAAAGGCTAGACTGAAAAGACAGCTAAGACAAATGTCCAGGTAAATTGTTAAAACCTATCAACTAAAGAAAATATTTATTGGTTCTCACATACATACATTTAGATTCTTGACTATGTTTATTTGCTCTTCTGAGATTCTCCTAATGTGATCGAAGGACGATATCCCTGTGTAATGAAAAAGATCTTTAACCATAATTCCATTTATCATTATAACCTGTGACTCAATTGGAGTTTCTGTGAGGACTGTGAACTTCGATTAAATAAATTATTTATTACTGAGATTTTTATCTCTCCCCACTGCCAAAATATAATCTCAGTGGGGTGTGTGTTGCAGAGCTATCTTTCCTCTAGCAGGATGCGTAAGGCTGGCACTGGAACTTCATGTCTGCTAAGAGGCGTATTAAAATGTAGCTAGATTCAGACAAATATTAACTAATGCCTGCACAGAATAGATGGAAGTAAACTGCATAACAGAATCACTAATTGGAGAGAGAACTAAACAAATACCAGTGAATCAAGAGGTGAGGTAAAGATGCTGGAATTGGATAGAACACATTTTGAGAAAAACAGAGAACTGTTGAACTAAAATGTCTGTAAACTGGAACTGTCAGGGCTAAAGTAATAAAGATGACAAAAAAGAAAAAAAAACACACGGGGGTGGAGGAGGGGGGGTGGGAGGGAGGGGACTATAGGTTAGTTGATATCCTTTACAGGACGTTGCAGAACCAACCTCAACAGCCCCTAGCTGTTGTGTGGTTTTTCTAGACAAATTTACGTCCAGTAGTTTACCACTGCTTCATGGACGGTCGGCTTTCTTGATACCACTGTCGAATCAACGCAAGGCGCATGGCCTGCAGCTGGGATCGAACCCGGCATCCCTGCATTATGAAGCATTCGCATCGACTTAGCCACAGAGCCGACGGGGAACTATAGAGTGGAGTTAAAATGATGGGGAGGACAAGTAGTGAGTGCATGTGACATCAAAAGATGGGATGACTTAGTGTAAGCAGGTTGAGGACCTATGCTTCATTGGGGGGATAGAAGGAAATAAAAGAAAAACGAGAGCAGGTGAAGCAGTTCATGGTCCAGGACATCATGTACAAACTCACTGGAATGAAGCTTAGGTTGGTCATGTTTCTTTCAAAGCTTTTATGCACATTTCATTTTCATCAGACTGCAGCCTCATTCTAAGAGGGCGCTATGCAGAGTTCAGAAATGACCTGGCACTGACCAGTGAGGTTGCTAGGTTAATCCATATCTTTAGCAACAACAACAAACTAGAAAACAAACTATTACAAGCAAATGTTTACACATTTTATTAAAAAGCTAATACAAGCTAATATATGTAGAACAATATAAGACTAATACAAGCAGTCATATGTAGAACAGTAAAATATATAAAAAAAATGTATTCAAGAAAACTGGTTTATATGTCCTAAAGTGTCTGCATTTTTACATGGTGTTGCTGTTTCTTTATGTTGGTGACATATGCTGAAATACATTAAAATATATTCAAATTTATAAATGATGGTTATAATAATGGTAGTGTTTGGTTTATTTGTTGCA